AACACAGCGTTCCTAATAAAAGGCTGAAGTTGCTTAGTGGCAGTTCTGTACAGAGTTTTCTTTGTGTACTTAGATCCTAGTTCAATTAAAAAAAAAAAAATAAAGTGGGTAAAGAATAGGAGGGAGTATTATACACAGACCCCAAGGCAGTTCTTGTGAAAGGCAATCCTTAAGCCTCTGCTTCTAGTATACTAAACACAACTGACTTCAAAACTCAAACAGTAATGCTGTTAAACTTTTTTTTTTTTTCCCAGTTAATGATTGCTGATAAATATTTACTTCAGGGGGAAAACAATAAATATTGCAATGAAGTTTGCAAGTTATGATTTGAAAGGTTAAGTAAGAGTTTCTGTAATGTCCCAAGAAATAGAATATCATGAATAAACCCCAATTTTTTACATTCATCAAGCACAATGCAGTGGGGAACAAAGAAGGGGCCAGACTAATCACGTAATTTGCAGAACATACTGGCTAGCTTTTTACAAAAACAAACAAACAAACAAACTTTACCCCATCAATAGCTTAATTGTTTATATTTTTAACCTATTTGCTTATTTTATATTGCCAAAGAGCTGCATGCTACTTTTTTTGATAGTTGATGATTCTGACAATTCAAAGCTAAAATTAAATTTTTTCAAATTGAGCTCTCAAAAATTAAGATACCATCACTCGCAACACTCCTACCTTGAAGTTGAATTTCTTCTTTTTTTTTTTCTCTGTTCTTTAAATAAATAGACCTCCCCACATAGAGGATTCAAATCATACAGCTAGTTTCAAAATTCCTTTATATATCAGTAAATACTTTGAAAAAATGTAACTGCATAAGGAGGCACAAATAGAACAACAACAATAAAAGCTCAGAATCTTATAAATACATATAGAAATGAATTACGCACTAAAAACAAGTTAGGAAAGTGCATGCATTACCTACTTAAACTGTAAAATGTCATTCATATTTAGGTTTATAAACACAAGGGTTGGGGAACTATTAAGTTCTTTTGGTTAAAGCCCAATATTGGCCTTATTTCGCTTTAATTGGAAGAGGATCTTGAATTCATCTTCTCCATGAGCTATCAGGAACCTGGATTTCTGTTTGTACCAAAGGTTAATAAGAAATGTGTCTGCAAAAGTCAAACAGCATTAAATACCAAAAACTGATTATTATTCTGCAGGAGTTGTTCTTCCACTCATAATCTCTCCATGCTCCAGCCTTCCACGGCTAATCTTTAATGGATGACATGCAAGAAAGAAAAATAACATCTAAAAAGGGACTCTAAATTGAGCTTTGAAGAAATGGAAAATGCTTCTGTGCTGGAAGTTATCGCCACCCTAAGTTTATTACTAGCAAGATTACTTACTTCCTCTTAGTTTATGGGATGCTATATCTAACTTGAAGATAATAGTCATTTGGATTTTAGTTCTCATTTTTACTATTAAAACTATTACTTTTGCACATTCATTCAGTAAATATTTTTCAAGTTAAATCAATAAACACTAAATAACTTCCACGACCATTCCCACAGCAGGCTCAAGAATTCCAAAATACCACAAATGTTAATTCCCAGCATTTTTGTATAAACTGATTTTTTCCTGCGGAGTTGACTCTGATTAAGAATAGTATTAGATCCTGGTAACATTACTATCAGATATTGCCGAAAATGCTAGCAAGCAAATAAAGAAAATAGCCCCTTGTTATAGAAAGATTTGATACAAAGTATTTCTGACCATATTTTTCTTCAGAATTATTCTTAATCCCAATACACTGGAGCACGATAGCAATATGAAAACAAATTAAGAGAGCTCTGCTGTCAACTGCAGTTTATCTTCTTGAGGTGAGGTACGGTGGATGTAGCTGCCAGAAGCTCAGGGCTTAGATAGCTTTCCAAGACTATAGACACTACCACTGTCTATGTCTGTCACACACAAGCAGCTCATTCCTCTAAAAACTTCTATATATGCCTGGTGTAATTCTTGTTAGGCAAAAATGAAGTAATCTATCCTATCAGTTCAAAGTGAGATCTATTCTCTCTGCTGGCTGTTTTGTAGACTTAGTAACACCTCCATCCTTAACGTTCAGTCTGTCCTCCTCCTCCCCTTGCCTCCCACAGAGGGCACTCATTCCCTTTTCTATTCAACAGACAAAAGTTCTGCAGTCCAGTATTTCACTATTTCCTTTTCTGTTCTTCATGACCACCTCACAGTTGGTGTTGTGTTTTTTCTTTACATTATTCTGGCCCCAGTTCCTTTATAAAGTGCTCTTCCCTTGATTTCCGTAGCGTTGCCTCCTTCTCTTTTTTTCTAATCTTCAAGATAAGTAGGGAAACTAATTGTACCTTCTGACAATGTCTGGTATGAGAAGAAATCTAACAGGCTAGTGAAGAATCAGTCGTAATCTGTGGCAAATGTCCACCAGAAATAACACCTCTAGTGGTCAAGTGTATGCAAACAGAACTGCAAATCCCCTCATGAACTGTAAACACCAGTTTAGTAAAATCTTAAAATAAAAATCTTCTGAAAATAAGCCATTTATTGCACATGGTAAACATTCTCTTCCACCATGTCCCTCTTCTACATTTATTATTTACTTTTTTATTCTCTCATAAGCCATCTCATAAATTTGCACTTCTCTTTACGTTTTCCTCCGAACAAAGTAAAAATCACAAAATGACGAGCTTTAGGTTATTTGCTTCTGAAGACCATTGTAGTAAAATTTTAAGATGGCCTTTGTCTTCAGCTTTTCTGTTCTTCCCAAAGGGCACATTTAGGTAAAGCCCATCAATTAGAGAGTTCCATTTAAAAATAGAATTTTAATATTCCTCAAAGTAGATAACATTTTATGGTGTACCTTTCTGACATTTTTTGCAGTATAATTTTGTGGAGTCATTTTCTTATCATAAAGTCAGTACAAAGTAATAATAAAAATGCAAACACCCATATTTACAAGCTTCACTTTACCATGTGTTATACGCTGTGGTAATTAAACATTAACTAGTAACATGAAATCACAGCAGCATGTGCTCTCCTTTCCACAAAGGACTTAAAATAAGGGAAAAATATTTTTCCTGAAACACACTGAGTCTTTATAATGTTCTGCTTGTCCATTAGAATTCTCCCTAAGGCTTTTACGACAGACAAGTATAGACCTTCACAAAGACACATACAGACCTCCATAAATTCAGTTCAGTTCACATCATTCCATATTTCAAAATGTTTATTCAAACTTCGGAAGAGTCTTAGAACAGTAAAATGATAAGCAAAATGCTAGACATTAACAAGGCTACTGCTGCTACTTTTTTTTTCTTTTTCCAAACAGCCTAAGTACTAAGACTCTTAGCCTCTCTCACAGCATTTAAAGAATTTTATACTTCCTGAACCAGTAAAAGGATCAAAAAGATTATCTTTTTAAAAGACAATCCTTATTACTCATTGCAGCTCTCATTAAAATTTGGCATACTCTTTTTAACTGTAATAACTATGATAATTATTCTATCAATATACCTGCCATACTGTTTTAGGGGGAACATCATGGTTAGGACATAATTAGAAAGTTTAAACAGTAATGCAGGAGAAAACAATTTACTAACAAATATTTCAAATGTTTCCATAACAGGAAGACTAAATAGCATTTAGACAGTCATATATTCATTTCCAGGTTTTAACGAGGCTTTAACACCTATATCAAATAGAGTATTTATGTGCTACAGGTGCACAGAGGTAAAACACTGTGCAAACATCCAAGAACAAACACAAAACTTGGAATTCAACCCAAACAATTTGCATTAGCATTTGGCTGATGGATACAACTATGATGTGCAGTGCAGCCTTCTTTTGTCTTCTGAAAGTACAGAAAACAAGATCATTTAGGGTGATAGAAAAGTAAAATTCTGCCTGCATTTCACTTAAACTTAACTTCTAATAGCCATTTCCTCCTTTCTCATCCTCTACCACAGAAAATCTAGCAATTTTCTACTTCGAGTATGCAGAGACTAATTTACTCCCAGGAGTTTCACGTTAAGCGTAAAGTCAGCCATCTGTTTTTTCAGTTTATTTTCACTGCTGTTTTCCTAGTTACTCCCTACCCCAATACTGATATTTTGGGAACAGGTATTATTACTATCAATATTATTTGAATATTTATCCTCCACAAGGACACAACTTTACAAAGCTTACACTGTATTTATGAACAAATAATACGATTAATTTAGAAAAGTACTCTCATTAATTTATTTGAAACACCTAGAGGAAAACCTCAGAGAACATTTCATCTACCGAGTACAAGATACACACTGTCACCTTTCAATAATAATAAAAATGCTCACCCTTCATTACTTTAGAAATTTCTGAAATCACAGAATGCAAACTGTTTCCAGTCTTGTGTGTATACCAAAGGATGATTAACAACAGATACAAGCATGTATCCACTCTTAACCATAAACTTAAAAACATGAAGGCCTCTTTCACTGGAGACATAACATAATCAGATAAAAATTCATTAACTGCCAGAAGAACACATATTTTCAAGAAAGGTGCAGGTCTCTAGCTGAGGTGAATGTGCAACTACCTTCATACACTGGGAGAGGGGTAGTATTGCTCTGCATGAGCTAAAACAATAAGTGGTATTTGAACTGCTGGTTGAAAGGTAGAGGCACTGGTAATCATTATTTCCCCTTGTTTGTTCAGGACCTTCCAACAAAACAAACAACCTTTTTGTGATTGGATTGACATGGTGTTAACAATGCATTTAATGCCCAAATCAGTATGAATACAGGTAAAGCTCCTACTAATACCAGTACCAGGATGTTAAAGCCACCTATTTTCTAAGCAACTCTAAACAGCCACACATGCACACACAAAAAAAAAAAGAAAGAAAGAAAAAAAAAAAAAAGTCAAATCTTCCCTCCTTTAGCAAATAAAGCTAACACTCACTAGGCCACGTCATATAGCAACCTCGTGTACTGCATGAGCTATATAGCCATCTGTTAAACGCTTGCCTACTGTACCTGCAATCTTTTCTGCAATCTTAGCTTCTGTAGCTCTCTCTTGCAGTTCTAAGTCCAGTTTTATTGTCTTCAACTCCTTGTCCTTTTCCAACACCTCATCTTGAAGCTGAATTGAACAAGTGTAACAAAATATTAAATTGCAGTCTTACTCCCAAAATACAAATATTGGTAATACCACAAATTCAATTTATTTTATTTATTTATTTAAAGGACAAATTTATTTAAGATAAATTGTTTTATCTTGCTCTTTGAGAAAAGCAGCAATGTGGATGCCATTGTTTTCATTTGGGAATCCCCTCTTACGATAATGGGGACGTCTGTGGTCATTCTCACTAAGGAAGTTCAGTTACGTGGAATATAATGTAGGTGGTAACTGCATGAGTAGCCTATTTCCCATCAAGAGTACTGACATAATTTATATCTGAAGAGCTGCAAATCTATCATTTTCCATGTGCATCACCAGATAGAAAACAGATATTCTTTGACATGCTGAGGTCTTTCTTTTAATTGGGAATTCACTGGCTCTGCTTATGGAGAAATGTCTGAGCTTGTCATTGAACAGTCAGTGACATTCCACATAATAACAGGATGGTTGAGGTTGGCAGGCCCTTTGGGTCCAACTGCTCTATCCCCTGCTCAAGCCCAACACCACATTCAGCAGGTTTTGGAGATCTCCATGGAAGATATGCTTCACAGCTTCTACGTAGCTTGTGCCAGTGCTCAGCCATCCACACAGTAAAGAAGCATTTCCCGATTAGACAGAATCTCCTGTGTTCCAGTTTGTTCTCACTGCTCTTTGTCCCCTCACTGGGGAACATTTAGTGAAAAGGTTATACGTTTTTCTGTTGTTTATGCAGATACAACCATTCCTAATGGTAGAAATAACACAGAGGTACCCAGGTGAGGTTGCTATATGGATCTCATGTACAGTATATGAGTTCCAGATTACGTTCATGAAACATTGGCTTTAGTTTTGTTAATTTTTTTGCATTTAACAGCTCAAAAACTTATAAATATATAAATATATAAATATAAATGCTTGAGCCACCTAAGATTAGGAATGGAGTGTTTAATGAAATAGATCATGTGTACTGCAGAACGTAAGTTTCAGATTTTGAATTGTGCCATAGTGTCATCATTTGAACTACTCTATTATAATAGAGAAGCTACAGTCCTGTCTTTATTATATCAGAAGTACAAAAGAGAAAAGGGGTAGCAAAGGCAAAACATACTCAAATTACATATATAAAATACACTGTCTGCTCTGATAACATGAATAGGATGCCAGTCATCACTACAAAGTGTTCTATTGCAAATAATTCCGCACATAATAAATATGTTTTATGTGGAGACTCCAGTCCACAAGCTTTTTCAAGCCAAAGAAAACTTTTCCATTAGCGTCAGTAGGTTTTTTTAATCCATGATGCAGGAACTTACGTCACTGATTAAAAAGGTCAAAGAGCAGGATGAAAGATTTTTTAATTCTGGAAAAGCAGTTGTTAACCAGGCACTAACAATCTAAAATGACTAGAAAGTTATTGTTTAGAGTGCTTAAATAAATAACAAAACTAAATTAGGAACAGTTTAAAATTTATGCATTATGAGACAATTGTAAAATAATAAATTCTGTGATCTGAGAATCTAAATTGTACCTTTTTATTTTTGGCCCTTAGAGTGTCCAATTCTTTTAAGAGGAATGAAGTTTGTGTCTTTCCACCAAAACCTGTGGGATCTTCCTTTGAAGATATAAATTCAGGGAGTATTTTCCCTCTACTTCCTACAGCACCACTTATAGGAGAAAGAAAAAAAAACGTTAATGGAAAGAACACTTCACCCTCCCAAAATGTATGCAAAAATAAACTAACAAAATTTGTTAACTGTTACAAATGTGTTCAGAAGCAATAACAGAAATGTGTTTCTATTACATCTTAAACCTGTAAGTCTAAAAGAAAACTTCTAAGTATGGAAATAATAAGCAAATATACTACAATGCTAATGCATAAAACTGATGAATAGAAAGTGGCTATAAACAGAAAATGCTTATGAGAAGCAAATATTAATATGGAAAAACAAAGCAGTGAAACATTTGCAGATCAAATTGATGCTCAGATTATAAGAAACCAAATTCTTCAGGATGAACAATTTCACATTTACTGAAATGAGAAGATCTAGAAGATCTAGAAGTTAGTATTGCAGAAAACTACAAAATTATAGGGCTATTCTAATTATTATATTTGATGGAAAGAATTCCAGTTTTAAGATTATTTTATTTAGCCAGAGACAGCGAAAAATGAGAAGAGATTCAATTACGTGCAGGGCCACCAACCTCCAGATCTGATACTAGACGAGGCTGCCCAGCCTGGTCTTGAATACCTCCAGGGATGGAGGTATTCAACCTCTCTGGGCAGCCTATAGCAGCACCTCACCACTCTCTCTGTAAATAACTTCTCCCTGACATCCAATCTAAACCCTCCCTCCTTGAGCTTAAAATATATTATATATATTTTTTCAGTATATACATTACAGTGCATATATTACATCACATATAGGATGTGTGTGTATGTTTCTTAAGATTTCAATATAAGGCTATAGCTTAGTACAAAACTTAAGGATAGAATAGAATCCTCAGATTTGCTCTTCTGTCTGATTCTGATTTCTGTCACAGACCCTGCCTACAAAGTATTACAACTCCTGACCTTTAGTCTTCCAACTTCACCTAGATTTCACCCTGATTCATTCTTGTTTCCTAGCTTATGCCATCTAATTGCCTAATCAGTCATCATACTCAAGGTACATTTATGGTTTAAAGCCACACATACTACTAGACTTTAGATCACCCTTTCTAAATCTGTACAATACGCGCATTTTAAATTACCTGAAGAGATTACAATTAATTGAAGTACCTACAGTGTGCAGATAAGCCACTGCCATGAACATATTCTTTATAAGTGCTGGAGGAGACAGTGTTAAAATGCTGCATTCCAACAGGAAAAGACAGATACGGTCGTCACAGTTACGTGTACAAGCTATCAACTAGTACTCAATGCCTAGAAAAATCAGTTTTCCTAGTCTAAGTAAAAAGATTTACTGATTCTCAACTTCCCTGACATTATAAAATATTATAGCTACTTTGTTTGCATTATTAATTTTAGAAAAAAAAAAAAACCAACATATTTTGAGGTATTTCTGTACCTTGGTTCTCCAGGACTGGAACTGAACTGAGCACACATATTTGGAGATCTTCCTTGACTGGTTACTAACAAATCTGAAAGTTTCAGCGCTTCATCTTCTGCTTGGATGAAAAAATCCGCTTTTCTGGAGGAATTTGGATGAAATTGAAATTCTGCACTGAAGTCTTCTCCTTTCTGTCCCAGGTTGTGGGTTTCTAATTGGAAACAGAGATGAATTTTTAATTTTATTTTTCTATTTGGAGAAAAAGAGCATTTTTTATCACTTAAAAATGGTTTGCTACGTTGTTATTTTAGCAAAAGTTTAGTTTTTCAAGCACACCTTCTTCATTCCACAAAGGAATGAGCACTGTGCTGCTTCAGGCGCTGACATAGCAGTTACTGCCTACTTACCAGACTTTTCTCATGCAGTCCTGAAAAATTCACTACCATTTCCCAATCCTTCTTCCCCTTCAATGACTGCTTAAAATGACCTTGCAAACCTACCTATCTTTTTGGGAAAAAATTATCCTAGTGAGGCATGATGAATTTCCACTCTAAAGAAGTGAATTTTCACATTTTGAACTACAGTTTCACTTACATTGAGGTCTTTTTCAAATTTTGTTTACAAAAGGAGTATTAACAAGTTGTAATTAGCGACAAACAACTTAAGGTCCCACTGGTCACTTCCAGAATGCGTGAACTAGAGGCTCATACAACTAAAGAATCTAGAGAATGCAAAGCACAAATTGTGTCAAAGGGAAAAATCATCTGATTATAAGGTTGAGTATGACAGGCAATTCTCCTAAGCCTGGCTACTAGATATTTTTTTTTATGATGTATTTCTGATATCATGGTACTTAAATAAAAGAAGGATCTACATACCAAGAATATTCTTTCATAAAGCAAGAACAAGTTTTAATTATAGAACTATATTAAAAAATGATGAGGAAGACATTAAAAAAAAACCTGAAAATGGAAAAAAAAAGTATTTTTCACAAGTAGGGAACACATAGTGAAGCTTTTGCTTATTTAATAATGTTAGCATTTCCAGTCATTTTGGATAAATTGTACTTTAAATACTCTTTGATCCAACTTATTACTTCCACATCAAAAAAATGAGAACAGATTCATCCAAAATAATAAGAAACTGACATCTAGTCTGTCATCTGTCTAATTGACAGATGTCTAATTGACAGCACCAAGGTGTCATGCTGCATATAAAACAGAAAAGCACAAATTCCAAGTGAAAAAATACTAAAGCACGTCTGTAAAATCAGGTGCAAGAGATTCTTCTTTCTGTGAAGAAGAAAAGGCACAGACAATGGCACAGGTAACATCCTGAGAGCGAAAAGAGAATCTTCTTGTGGATTGGCTGGAGATGGTTTAACAAGTCTCCACAAAAAGCTGTGCATTACCATCATGTAGAGAAGTTTTCATACGTGCAACTCATCTATATTCTCTTTATCTACAAGTTCTCTTGAATCCTCTCTCACCATTCCTCTAAACTGCAACCAGATTTTCATACTAGGGAAACAACAGACAACAGTGCAGCAGAATCCCTGTTTCTAAGTAGTAATAAGCATGAGGGGATCATAACCTGTTAAGACACTAATTAACAAATATAATCTACTACTGCTTCCAGTACTGTGATCAAAATGTATTCCTTGTATCAGATCCTTTTGCAGCTAATGCTATAACTGAACATAGCCACGTAGATTCTGAACAAATGTACACTGTTCACTGGCTCAGCATCCTGTAGGCTTGCGAGCAGATATAAATATTGCAAATTATGCTGTCACAGTCTGAAGGAGGGGTGCAATGCTTCAGTTGCCTTAACAATCTTTTCCTTTCTTCTTTGGGCATCAACATTTTCACCAAGGCTGTCATCCCTGTTGCAGGCTGTGCTGGTCTCAGATGGTGAGATTCCCAAAGGCAGATCTTACCAGTAAAGACTGAGGTGAAGACATTGAGTAACATAGTCCTTTCTCACCACAGCCTCTGCTGCATTTGAGCAGTGGGGCAACATTTCTACACTGTTCCTTTTACACTTTATATATCTGTAGAATCCTTTTTTGCTTCTCTTCTCATCTGTTTTAAGATTAAACTCCAGATGGGCTTTGGTTTTCCAAATCCCATCCCTGCACAAAGAATCTCTCTGCATTCTTCCTGTTCCCATTTCCACATCTTCTATGCCTTCATTTTATGCCTAAGTTTAGTCAGGAGCAAAAGGCATTTGGCTGCCTTTGCTTGATTTCCTGCTTGTCAGGATAGACCATTTTTTAGCTTGGAGTAGGCAAATCTTGAATACCAGTGAGCTCTCTTTAATATTGCATCACTCCAGGACTGAATCCTATATAATTCTTCCAAACAGATCACAGAGGAATATCTATTCTCCTGAAACCCAAGGCTGAGGTTCTGCTTCTGTCCTTCACCCTTCTCTCAGGATCCAGAACTCTACCATTTCATAACAACTGCAGCCAACGCTGTCTCCCAGTTTGGTATCTCCAGCCAGTACCTCCTTATTTCTAAGTATTGGATCCAACAAAGCACCCTCCCTTGTTGTCTCAGCTGTTGTCTCAGCAATCACTTTCTTCAGCAGTTGTCAACAAAGGACTCTTCTACACTGTGTCCTGCTGTGTTGGCCTTCCAGCTGATTACCAGAATCACTGAAGTCCCCTATGAGGTCCACAGCCTGCAAACATAAGGCTGCTGCTTCTTATCTGCAGGAGGAGGTAAATATCTGCAGATTAACTCCTGATTAAATTGTGGGCCAAATGGAAGACTGGGATACTTCATGCGTCCTTTCATTAGTATATGAAACCTTATGGAAACAAGAAAATAATTTAGTCTGGGACTAGGCCTGTTTTGACATTTATTACTGCTAATGTTGCTTCCTTAAGCAATTTATATTTGCTACACACCTTTCATCCAGATTCAATTCCCTCATGTGCATGGGTAAGACTGAGCACCACACAGCAAACCTGCAAGTGGCATTCCTGGAAATACCAGATGAAAAACAGAGGAACTATCTTTCCCCCTGTTGGCACTGTAAAAGAGAACAAGACAGCAGCCTTCTCCACTCAGAATCAGAAGGACTCTGCTCAATGGCATTAAGGTTAGAAGTTTTTTCACTTGTTTCAATAAAGCCTCAATTGTTTTGTAATTTTCTTTTGTCAACTTGCTAAATTTGTCATTAGAATGCTTTGAGGAAGGCATTTTGAACACAGTTAGATCAATAAAGGCAATGAATTTTTTATTTCTAAAAACACTTCTACATTTAGTCTGTGACACTGCTCCCCATCCCAAGTAATTTAGGCCTTGGTATAAGGTAGAGTCTTGTCTTCCCTTTAAACCAAGCAGCAACGTTAATCAATGCACTTCAGTGCTTTTCTTCATGCCTCCTGCAAATTGTATTATGCACTAATTACCAATGCTGCAGAGACACACTGGGGAGTAAGTAGCATTTGCAATAATCAGGCTGCACAAAGAACATCAGAGAAAGCATACAACAGCCTTGAAATCTTCATGAAAAATGGTGTAGTTTTCATTAAGTGGTATCACCGCCACTGATTCTGGTTCTTTAGTACACTAAACAACATATTTTCCATATAGAATAGAACAAGCTCAGTAGCTCAGATTAATATTTCACTATAGGGAGAAGCAGAATAGCTGATCTTCTGTTTTATGTATTTATCTTGAATGAATAGCTCATTCACATTAAGGGAAAGAAAGGCAAATGTTAGGAAGAAGAAATATAAAGACACTAGAAATAAAGCTGGGAATTGATTATAGGGGAAGTAGGAAGAAGATAATGTCGTCACAGCTTGAAATAGTAAAGGTAGAACAGAATTCAATGTTGGTAAGCTAGAAATGGTTAAAAAGTCAAAGTAAAAATATTAAACCTAAAGCAATTGGAAGGCAGCCGCAATTTCTCAGAGCTTTTTCTCAGAAAGAGGGGACCGGAAGTGACAGAAGTGAAATAGCATAAGAGAATCCTTTAATATGGAAACTCATAATACAGAAAGATGCAAGTGCACAGAAGGCAGAGTTTTGCCTTCAAGGCCAAGGAGGCAGCAGCCTCTTTTATGCACAGCTGGTGAGATGCATTCACCATTCCACCATCCAGCAAAGCTGGATCCTCTTCTGTCTGCAATTTTTAGCACTCCCCTATCCAAACTGCTCTGATCACCTCTGAGATTTGCAGGGGGGTCTCTGAGGAGCCACAACAAAAGGAAAAAACAGCGGCAACAACAACAAACCTAGAACATGCACACAGCACCGTAGAATCTATGCTACGCTACAATTCACCCTGCAGAGGATGATGGGGACATCAGAAGTCCCAAACCAGCTTCAAATGTAACTATAGCTATTCAGAGATTTCAAGTACTTTAAGTCACTCTGTAGCACAGATAAAGCATGTTCTTATCTGCCTGCAAAAGACTGCATGAATGAACCCGTAAAGGAATGGGACTAAGATATAGAACAGAAAAAGGAGTAAAATGGGGAAGGAAGAGAACAACCATACACATTTTGGGGAAAAAAAATGCAGAACAAAACATGTTGCTGTACTTGAAGAGCTGACTACAACCTTAACGACTAAATCCCTCCAAAATCCACTTGTTAACAAACTAATAAGGACACGTGTACTCCTTTTTCCCCGCCTCTCTCCTGGGGCATGGGTCTGTGGGTCCCCGCACACCATTAGTCATGGAACCAGGCCAAATCGGCCTGTAAAGTATTGACAGTTTGACACAGTTTCCCATAGTATTCTCATGGAGAAGTTGGCAGCCCATAGCTTGGGCAGATATGCTCTCCACTGGGTAAAGAACTGGCTGGGTGGCTGGCCCCACGGTGGCATTCCCCAGGGGTTGATACTGGGACCTGTCCTATTCAGTATTTTTACTGATGACAGGATTGAGTGCACCTTCAGTAAGCTTTCAGATGACACCAAGCTGGGAGAAAGTGTCGATCTGCCAGGGTAGGAGGTCCCTACAGAGGGATCTGGACAGGCTGGATAGCTGGGCTGAGGTCAGTGGGATGAAGTTCAACAAGTCCAAGTGCCACGCCTTGCACTTTGGCCACAACAAACCCAGACAGCCCTACAGAATTAGGGCAGAGTGGCTGGAAGACCATGTAGAGAAACAGATCTGGGGTACTGATTGATGCTCAGTTGAACATGAGCAAGCAATGTGCCAGCAAGAAGGCCATCGTGGCA